ATTCAAGGCCTAGCCACTCAGAGAAGCCTCTCCTGGCCCGGGGTTTGATTTCCTGGGAAGGGAAAATGGGTGGTAGGGGGACCTGGGCCCTCCCTCTCCACCGGGTCCCAGCTCAGGGCCCTTTAGGCAGGGCCTATGGCTCCTGCCCGCTCGGCAGGGAATCCGGCCGATACACGCCGAGCCAAACCTTGTCTCCCCTGCCCTGGGCTGGGCTGCTTCCTACCACGCCCCGGTTCCCCGGGGGCCCATTGGCCTCTGAGGCAGTACCTGCTGGGGTTGTGGGTACATTCTGGTCTCCTGGAGTCGGGGTCCGCTTCCTTGGTGTCAGGGTCCAGCACTGGCAGCAGCTCTGGTCCCAGCAGCTGGAAAAACACTGGCCAGGTCTCCTCCCTCCCCCAGCTGTCCTCTTGCCTGCTGGGCTCCCTCTGCCTTTATACCTGGTCTCTGCTGGGAGCATGCCCAGCAGGGCCGGAAGGGCGGGGCCCTCTCTGCCAGCTGGGCCTGGGCTACTCCCGGCCCTGCAGTGCGGGGTCTCAGGTGACTACATCTGCACTCAGTATTCAAGATGTGGCTGTACCATGCATTTATAATGGTATTTTCTATCTTATTATCTATCCCTTTCTTAATGATTCCCAACATTGCTGGTTTTTTTGACCGCCATGGGATACTGAGTGAATTTTTTCAGAGAACGATCCACAATGACTCCAGCATCTTTCTTGAGTGTTAAAAGCTAATTTAGACTCATCATTTTATTTATATAAAATTTGTGATTATGTTTTTCAGTGTGCATTACTTTTCATTTATCAACACTGAATTTCAGATAGTACTTCACCTGCCTTTTGTCTAATATTCTGGAACAGACATGATCATAACAACACTGCCTGCAACTGTTGGTTCATTTGACAGCATTTTATAGTCCGTTTTATTGTTTCTCTTTTCCTTTAGTTACCCTTTTTTATTTACTTGCATTCTGCATAGAGCAGCAGTGGGGAAAGGAGCACTTAAAATCTGACTTTAAAAATGTCAGGGGGATTCAGGAAGAGGGTTAGTGTAGATTTCTAGTATCACAACTACTTCCAATGCATCTTGAAACTGACTAGATTAATCTTTTTTAATTTCATTTTCTCTAAACTTATACATTCTTGTATAATTGTACTTACAGAAACATGATCCTCCCTTGAGTAGCATTCCTTGTCTGCATTATAAGAACATGAAGGACAATGAGGAAAGGGAACAAAACAACGACATAACCCCAAATGGGGAAGTATCACCTATAAAGCACATATATAAGTCTTCGGATCTGGACTGCCAAACAGAGGAGCCGGACTCTATTGCTGCTGATTCTGGGCCTTTAGATGAGAGAGAGCCTTCAGGGTGTGATGCAGCACCAGGACCCTTAGGACAAGTTAAGGCTAAAGTTGAAGTGTGTAAAGATGAATCTGTAGGTGAGTACTGAAATCAGTGCCTACTACTTGTTAGAGGAGGGGATTGGCCGTCAAGAATCTGATTTTTTTTTTTTTAAATAAACTCCTGATTCACTTCTTGAGCTTGGGGAAGTCATCACATTTCTCTCTGCTTCAGTTCTTCATCTGCAAAATGGGGGGGGGCTTTACATCCCCACTTCTGTTAAGCAATTTGATCCTCGGTATGTGGAAGTATGTAACTATGGAGTGCATTTGAGGATTGCTGAGGGACAACATGCAAGGATCATTTTTAGCTGTAGAAATTTGAGAATTACCAGGGTATAGTACTGTAAACTTGTGCATTTAGTGACTAACTAAAGGAGACTTAAATTACAGCATAAATAAAAACTATCACCACTGGGGTCTTTTTTTGTAAAGTATGATTGCCTATACCCATCTGACGAATTGTTTGCACACATTTTCTGTGCTGATTTAAGTAAACAGGTTGCAAACCAGTATAGCTGAGGCACAGCATGCAGTTTAGTATAGCATATTCATGTATATTGAAAAGAGTAAGCTATATCAGTATATTTGCATCCTGCCCCTGCAGCTGCATTTCTCAGTGGTGTGCAGGGCTGCAGGACAAACAGGGGAGCCAGCCTCTTCCCACTGCCTCCATGGGCCAGATCTGGTGGCTTGGTGGGCTGGATTCGGCCCCTGGGCCGTATTTTGCCCAGGCCTGCACTAGTGGTTATACCACTTGAACAATGTTTTTAACAAAACAGAAAATTACACCCATAATTGATATAGACTACATTTGTACAAAAACTATTAAGACAGGTCTGAATCCCTTCCCTGTCAACCATCCAATCAAGTCTCATGAGCCCTGTCAGTAGCTTACTGTGATTGGTTACTAATATATATCACTGTTTCTCAAAAATATTGCTGTGGTTCATAGGTTACCGATGGTCTACATTGTCTTTAAAATTTTAAGGTTATCCTTAGCTTTAGAGCATAAGACTTACTATGTGTAAAGGTTAAATAGATTGACCATATAAGCTGCCATAGAATAGTAGATAATACTTCCAATCAAAACCAATATCCACAATAACCCTTTATTATCCTTTGTATATATTCCAGGAGCCTGCCTCTTCTCTAAGGGTGTGTCTAGACTACAGAGTTTTTTTTTTAAAAAGTAACCTTTTTTCTAAAAAAACTTCACCTGCGTCTAGACTGCCACCGCGTTCTTTCGAAATTAAATCGAAAGAACATGGCGCTTTTTTCGATGGCGGTAAACCTCATTTTACGAGGAAGAACGCCTTTTTCAAAAGAGATCTTTAAAAAAAAAAGGCATGTGTGGACGCGGGGGAGTCAGTATTTTCTGAAAAAAGGCCTCCAGGAAAAAGCCCTGGTGGACACTCCATCTACATTCCTTGCACCTTTATTGTTCCTGTTTGCAGCCATGTTTTAAAGGCACAGGCACCCGGCCAGCCATTTGTGTCAGGAAGCCAGCCAGACCACACGGCTCTTCCTGTCACAGTGTGACCCATCCATGTCTCAGCCCCAAACCCCCCCTGCCCCTTCCAGGGAAACAATTGAGGACCCACCCAGGGGCACCAAATGGCGGGCACTGGCATGGTCAGGACCAGAGATTTTAAGACTCTCCTTGAGCTCTGGTCTGAGGAGGAATCCCTGCAGACCCTCCAGTCGCACCTCAGGAATGCAGACATTTATGGGCACATGGCCCAGGGACTGGCCAGGAGAGGGCACCACCCCCACAGCCTGGACCAAGTGCGGGCCAAAGTCAAACAACTGCGGCAGGGGTATGCCAAGGCCTGAGACCACAGCTCCCACTCTGGAGAAGCCCCACACTATTGTCCATACCATACGGACCTGGATCACATTCTGGGTGGTGGGCGTCTGGTGGAGTCTGGGTTACCACAACATGTAGTGGAGCAACCCGAGCAGGAGCACCAGCAGTTCGGAGAATCAGGAGAGTGAAATCTGGCGCTGGAGGAGGAGGACGACACTGTGACCCTATCCCTGGAGCCGGTCCCCCAGAGGCCTCCCAGACGTCTTTGGATATCGGGGAGGGAACATCAGGTGAAGTGCTGTGAGGTTGCACCACACACAGGGTGGGGGAGGCGGGTGCACAGTGGCTGATGCCTGAGTGACACGTGTACTGCTCAGCCTGGACAGCGTGCAGCTGGCCGTGTATGTGCAACCACATGCAGTGCTAGTGTGCAACATGTGGGTGTGGGACATGTGGTGCCAAGAGCCATTCCCAGAACACAGACGGGTGGGTTGGCAGTGTAGGGGGGCATATGGTCCCAATGGCACTTTGGGGCCCCTGTGAGGCTGAGGCTGCTGCCCAGCTCACACATGGTGTAACTTGCAGAACCTCTGAGTCCCCTGTCTGAAGGAAAGTCCCTTACAGCAAGGGCATGCCCTCGGGGACAGCAGGTGGATGGGTAAATGATTATCTCTTCTTTTTTTCCTCCACAGCTAGACCACCCACACAAGAGGGTCGCAGCACACCGGCCCCACCACCATCCTGGGCACATGGCACCCACAGGCACTAGCATCTGTACATGGACATTTTAAAACAACACGAGGCGGCCCTGCAGGACCTGAACCAGACCCTGAAAGAGAGGACGCAGGCAGAAGCCATGTGGCATGACCGTCTGCTGGACGAGCTCATCCAGCAGCAGACTTGCATCTGTGCCACTATGCTGGAGGTCCTTGCCTTGCCTGCTTCTGTCCCTGGTACTGCTCCTTCTGCACACCATGATCCTGGCCCACCGAACCCCCATTCCCCACCTGCACCCCCTTTTCCCCTTGCACCTCTCCTCCCCAGCTCCTCTTTTCCCCCCAGTCCACTCCCCTCCTGTCCAGCACACTGTCACCCCACCCAATCCCAAGGCCATGGCGGTCCCCGGATGTGAGGCGGTAGGAGCTTGTGGTCAGGGAAACACTGACTGACCTGAACCCCCTCCCTCCATCCAGGTTTTCAGCCCCCAACCATCCCAGTTACAGAAAAAGTTGCTCATTGAACAAAATGTTTATTTTTGATTCAAAAAGTTTGCTTTTCCAGAAAACAATGTATAATAAAAATAACAATGTACAACAAAGTTTATTTTTGAAAATAACACTGTTATTTTGTTATTGATTGTTATTCAATACACACTTTGTTTATTTAATACAGTCTATTTTTCAAAGAAAACCTGGTGTCTGTCTTTACTGTCCAGAGAGTGGGGCAGGGATGAGTTGCGGGGGGAAAGCTATTGGGGGTGCTAGGCCCAAGCCCCCATTGGGGAGACCCTGTGGAGAGTCACTGGGCTCCTTCAGAAACTCTCTCCCTCAGGGCCTCCCGGATACGAACGCCAGACTGGTGAGCCTGGCTGATGGCAGCTGTCCAGGGCTGCTCAAATTGCCTCCCTTCATCATCAGCACCTGTCCCCCATCCCGGGAGGAAGGCCTCCCCTTTTCTCTCCACGAGGTTATGGAGAACGCAACACATGGCCACCACCTCGGGGATGTTGCGTTCCCCCATCTCCAGCCATTTGAGCAGGCAATGGAACCTCCCTTTTAGACGTCCAAATGCGCATTCCACCTGCATGCGAGCCCGGCTAAGATGCGCATTAAATTGCTCCTTGCTCGTATCCAGGTGGCCAGTGTAGGGCTTCTTAAGCCACGGCATCGGGGGTAGGCCGTGTCAGCCATGATGGACAGCAGCATCTGCACATCCCCAAGTGCAAGGTCCCACTGCAGGAAAAATGTTCTTGCCTGCAGGCTGCGGTAGAGGTAGAAGTTCCTGAAGGTGCAGGCATCATGTTCCCGCCCCGACCACCCAACACAAATGT